TGGACGGATTCTTCTTAAAGAAGAATCCGTCCAGAAGACCTGATTCAACCTCGTTAGATTTATCTACCTGTATTATTGAGCAACATCAGGGCGGTTTTTAATAACTTTTCCTTGTGTAAGTACCGTATTCACTGCCAAAAGCAAAAGAAGAACAATGTTGTGGTCTGAAGTAATCATTGATCTACATCTGATGAAGATTTGGAGTTAATCCTACCACAACACAAAACTTAGTGTGACTTTATGAGTTTTTTACAGTTTTTTTTACAGTAGCTGGGACTAACCCCCAAATTAAACTGAGTTATAACTGACCATAAGAGTTCGGTGTTCAAAACGTTTCTGTTAATTATCAACTGCAAAACTTCTCACAAATCACTGAACAGATTATAATGAAACTTCCATCCATCCATCCATCCATCCATGCATCCATCCATCCATCATCTTCCTTTTGTTCCAAAGTCAGGTCTCGGGGGCAGCATCTTGAGCAGGGAGGTCCATACATCTCTCTCCACAGCCTCCTCTTCCAGCTTTTCTGGGAAGACTCCAAGGCATTCCCAGGCCAACCAACAGGAAGTAGTCTCTCCAGCATGTCCTGGGTATTTCCCAGGGTCTCCTCCCAGTCAGACATGCACGAAGCACCTCCCTAGGGAGGTGCCCAGGGAGCATCCTTACCAGATGCCCAAACAAACCATATCATACCAATTTATTTATAGAGCACTTAAAACAGCAACAAGGCCAACCAAAGTGCTGTACAATAGAAACAAACAAGCACAGCGGACAAATAAAATAAATAATAATAAAATAAAATAAAAATATAGACACAAATAACAGTGGATAATAACTAAATGACCAACACTGTGGACTACAGACAGGATCAAATCAAATCACACCATGTCAAAGGCAACGGAATAAAAGTGGGTTTTCAGGCAAGACTTAAAGAATGTGAGTGTGGGAGCCTGCCTGACACGCAGTGGCAACTCATTCCACCGTCTTGGACCTGCAACAGAGAAAGCAAACAAAATATCTCCGTCTAAAAGCCTCTGAGAGGTGGCAGGTGCATTTCATTGAGGTGATAGACCTTTAATTCAGTTTGTTTTTTGTTTCATTTCTATAGTTTTGTTGCAGCTGTTATATGAAATTTAAATAAGCATGCAAAAATGACCATGCAAACTAATTAAAATATCTCATTGCACGATCATCATGGTCATGGTCATAACATAATACGAAGGAAATGAGGTATTATTACATGGCTGTGAGTTACAGCAGGATAGCATGTGAAAAATGATAACTGAATTATGACCATGTCTTCATAATGTGTGTCCAGAAAATACAAAATCTGTTTCACTAAATACAGAGAAAAGGCTATTCACTGTGTAAATACATTTAATTTATTCTAATATATTCATATCTTGGGATGCAGTAGAATAATATCCTGCAGTTTCTTGCAGTTTAACACAACGTCATCGTTAGTAAAGTTCAGCTGAAGCAGCCGATCTCAAATGCAAACTCAAAGGTCCATGTGAAATGTAATGCTATATTTGATTGACAGTTCAGTGGAGATTTGTTTTCTAACTGTGTCCAGTTATAATGTTTTACAGCTTTTTGATCATCCTGGACATTATTTTAATTTAAAGTCAAGATTAAATACTGTTTAAAGTTAGTACATTTCTGAGAAAGGATGGCAGACATGCTGCTACCATCAAACAGAAATAAGTGACACTTACTCTTGTCCTGCAGAATCTTTTAGTTCGCTGTGGCGACCCCTGAAGAAGGACACAGCTGAAAGAAAACAAAAAAACTCGTCCTGCAGAATATAATTCATTGCTTGATGTAAAACCAGTTAAAGGTAATTTTTTTTACCAAAGTCTACATGCATGAGTCTTCAACCTTGCCGTGCAGCGTTATGACTGTTAGGCCCATGTCAGGTCTGCAGAGCTGGCTCAAGCTGCGGCCTCTTTGGTTCACTGATCAAAGCAGTGAAGCGTCTCCTTCCTTGGCCCCTGACCACAGAAATGCTGCCCACTGGAGGAGGACATGTCAAAATCTTGTGGGTGGAAATTTTCCTTGAGGCGTCTTTCACTTCACTCACAAATGGGCTCTTCAAAAACTATTTTGCTCTTGATGAAAAATGCATCTGCGTATGTGTGCTTTTTTTGTAGATGAGCTGAAGGAGAAGCTGCAGGATTTTGTGTCCGAGACCAACAACCAGCGTCCAGGATTCATTAAGGTGGTACGGCATGCCAAGCAGGAGGGTCTGATCCGGTCCAGAGTGAGCGGATGGAGGGCCACCACTGCCCCGGTTGTTGCCCTGTTCGATGCCCACGTTGAGTTCAATGTCGGCTGGTGAGTCACTCACAAGGCTCTTGTGTCATTTGATCTGTGGGAGGGCTTTAAAACAATTTTATTTTTAAACACAGCTCGCAAAGTTAGATTTTTATTTTAATAGTTCCTGTATTCACATCAAACAACGACAAAATGTTTGATTTTCACTTTAACTAGAAGAACAACCTCAGTCAAGCTCTTGAATAATGAAACGTTTTAAATGTTCAAATTATTCTATATTTATTTTATTTAAAATGGTGCAAAAACACACAAGAATTTGCACATAACCAATTTTATTACTCTAAAAACTATTACAATTATTGGCCATAAAATCACAATAAAACAGCTAAAATGGAATTGTATGCATTTTTCTTAGGCCATCAGTTGAATGTTAATTTTAACACATTTAAAGTGTTGGCAAAAAGACGACAAGAAACGGGCAAAGTGCTGCAAAAGACCCAAGCACTGGTCTTTTCCAGCACACAAACTGATATTTAAAGTAAACTTACAATTTTAAAGCAATTTCAGCTTGTTGTAAACTAGAAATAAATGTGATGGAATTCTACAAAGTAAAGAAAGAACATTTATTTGAAATATTTTGATACATTTTTTTGTTGTTAAAGTTTATTCCATATTTCTTAGAATAAATGCTTATTTGTTTGAGTGTGCCAGTTTAGCTGCGTGTAATGAATGGACAAACACAGCTGCTCTGACGTTGTTAGAAAACTTGGATTATTTGAGTTTAGGTTTAAAAAAACACGTGCAGAGGCTGTTCTAATGTTCTGACACACAGGGAATTGCTGCTTAGACTTCAGTTACTGTTTATAAAAGTAACCATGCTTTAGCTCTACAACTGCCTCCTTTTTCATTTCCTCCACACAGCGGTGGATGACTCACGATGCGTGCTGTTTGTTGATTTGTTGCACAACGAGCAGAAATGTATGCCCATCGACGTGCAGCCGATGCTCAGCCGGTGTTACATGATGCGCTTTTTTACCCTTCGTTTGTAATTCTGATTTTTATTTTAAATCTTCTGTACAATTTTTCCCTTCTTTTATTTATTTATTTATTTATTCTTATTTATTTATTTGTTTGGAATGTCACCTCACTGGTGGGGAAGGAGCCTGAGCTGGTGTATGAGGTTGAGAGGTTCCGGCTAGAAATAGTCGGACTCACCTCTACGCATGGCTCTGGCTCTGGAACCAGTTTCCTTGAGAGTGGTTGGACACTCTTCCACTCTGGAGTTGCCCCTGGTGAGAGGCGCCGAGCAGGAGTGGGCATACTTATTGCCCCCCCATCTTGGTGCCTGTGTGTTGGGGTTCACCCCGGTGAATGAGAGGGTAGCCCCCCTCCTTGGAGGGGGTACTGGAAAGTGCACCTCCTGGGGACTCCTTTGTTCTGCAGGGGGACTTCAATGCTCATGTGGGCAATGACAGTGAGACCTGGAGGGGTATGGTTGGGAGGAACGGCCCCCCTGATCTGAACCCGAGTGGTGTTCTGTTGTTGGACTTCTGTGCTTGTCATGGATTGTCCATAACAAACACCATGTTCAAGCATAAGGGTGTCCATATGTGCTCTTGGCACCAGGACACCTTAGGCCGCAGTTCGATGATCAACTTTGTCATCGTCTCATCTGATCTGTGGCCACATGTCTTGGACACTCGGGTGAAGAGAGAGGCGGAGCTGTCCACTGATCTCACCTGGTGGTGAGATGGCTCCGATGGTGGGGGAGGATGCTGGTCAGACCTGGCAGATCCAAACGTATTGTGAGGGTTTGCTGGGAACGTCTGGCAGAGTCTCCTGTGAGTCGGAGTTTTAACTCCCACCTCCGGGAGAACTTCGAACATGTTCCGGGGTAGGTGGGAGACAGTGAGTCCGAGTGGGCCATGTTCCATACCTCTATTGTTGAGGTGGCTTACCAGAGCTGCGGCCGCAAGGTTGTCAATGCTTGTCGCGGTGGCAACCCTTGAACCCGGTGGTGAACACCAGCAGTGAGGGATGCTGTCAGGCTGAAGAAGGAGTCCTATCGGGCCTTTTTGGCCTGTGGGACCCCGGAAGCAGCTGATAGGTATCGGCAGTCCAAGTGACATGTGACTCGGGTGGTCGCTGAGGCAAAAACTTGGGCATAGGAGGAGTTTGGAGAGGCCATGGAGAATGTCTTCCACACGGCTTCGAGGCGATTCTGGCCCACCATCCGGCGTCTCAGGGGGGGAAAGCGGTACACCACCAACACTGTTTATAGTGGGGGTGGTGTGCTGTGCTGCTGACCTGAACTCGGGATGTCGTGGGTCGGTGGGCGGAATACTTTGAAGACCTCCTCAATCCCACCGGCACGTCTTCCACTGAGGAAGTGGAGCCTGGGGACTCTGGGTTGGGCCCTCCAATCTCTGGTGCTGAGGTCACCGAGGTGGTTAAAAAGCTCCTCGGTGGCAGGGCCCCAGGGACAGATGAGATTCACCTGGAGTTCCTTAAGGCTCTGGATGTTGTAGGGTTGTGTTGGCTTACGCGACTCTGCAATATTACATGGACATAGGGGGAAGTTCCCCTGGATTGGCAGACCGGGGTGGTGGTCCCCCTATTCAAAAAGGGGGACCGTGGAGTGTGTTCCAACTACAGGGGGATCACGCTCTTAAGCCTCCCTGTTAAGGCCTATTTGAGGGTTCTGGAGAGTAGGGTCCGTCGGATAGTCGAACCTCAGATTCAGGAGGAGCAGTGCGGTTTTTGTCCTGGTCGTGGAACACTGAACCAGCTCTACACTCTCAGCAGGGTCCTGGAGGGTGCGCGGGAGTTTGCTCTACATGTGCTTTGTGGACTTGGAGAAGGCGTTCAACCGTATCCCTCAGGGAACCCTGTGGGGGGTACTCCAGGAGTATGGGGTACCAAGCCCTTTTATACGGGCTGTTAGAGCCCTGTATGACCGGTGTCAGAGCTGGTCCGCATTACCGGCAGTAAGTCGGGCTTGTTCCCGGTGAGAGTTGGACTCCACCAAGGTTGCCCTTTGTCACCGATTCTGTTCATAACTTTTATGGACAGAATTTCTAGGCGCAGCCAAGGTGTTGAGGGGATCCATTTTGGTGGCCTTAGGATTGCGTCCCTGCTTTTTGCAGATTATGTGGTCTTGTTGGCTTCATCAGATGGTGATCTACAGCTTTCGCTGGAGCGGTTCGCAGCAGAGTGCGACACGGCCGGGATGAGTATCACTTCCTCCAAATCCGAGGCCATGGTCTTGAGCCGGAAAAGGGTAGAGTGCCCTCTCCAGGTCAGGGAGTAGGTCCTGCCCCAAGTGGAGGAGTTCAAGTATCTTGGGGTCTTGTTCGCGAATGAGGGAAAAATGGAGCGTGAGATCGATAGGCGGATAGGTGCAGCATCTGCAGTGAAGCGGGCACTGTACAGGTCTGTCGTGGTGAAGAGAGAGCTGAGTCAAAAGGCGAAGCTCTCAATTTACCGATCGATCTACGTTCCTACCCTCATCTATGGTCACGAGCTTTGGGTTGTGACCGAAAGAATGAAATCTCGGATACAAGCGGCCAAAATGAGTTTTCTCCGCAGGATGTCTGGGCTCTCCCTTAGAGATAGGGTGAGAGCTCGGTCATCAGGGAGGGACTCAGAGTAGAGCCGCTGCTTCTCCATATCGAGAGGAGTCAGTTGAGGTGGCTCGGGCATCTGTTTAGGATGCCTCCTGGACGCCTCCCTGGTGAGGTGTTCCAGACACGTCCCACTGGGAGGAGACCCAGAGGAAGACCCAGGACACACTGGAGGGACTATGTTTCTTGGCCTGGGAACGCCTCGGGGTTCCCCCAGAGGAGCTGGGCCAAGTGGCTGGGGAGAGGGATGTGTGGGTCTCCCTACTTAGGCTGCTACCCCCGCGACCCGACTCCGGATAAGCGCAAGAAAATGGATGGATGGATGGATATTTGTTTATTTGTTGTTTTTTCTAAATAAATACAATTTGTTTCAGAAAGAAAATTATTTACATGTTTTTCATACCTAAAGAGTCATATATATATATATATATATATATATATATATACATACATTTTTGAATGAAAAAAAATATTATTATTGTTATTGTTGTTGTTATTATTTATTTATTCATTTATTTGTCATTTATTTATTTTAACCATACATGAACAAGGGCTGACCTTTGTGACCTTTCTCTAATCAAATGTCTTTCACTGACTGGTGCACTGCTTTCACAGATCAGCTGCAGGTCCACTAGTCTCGTCTCTAGTCTAGGTTATTCCAGTGAGTGACATGACTGTGATTGCAGATTGTGATACCTTTTAGACATTACTGTACAAAATGGTGACCTTTTCCTACATTTGTCGTCCTCCAACCACTGATTGTTCCGTAAACTTTCAGAAATGCACAAACAAAAGCACATTTGCATCAGAACCTAAGATGCTCGTCATTCCAACATTTAATGATCACTTTGATGTACTTTGATTCCTTTTCTAGAAGTACAAATCTATTCAGGTCATTTTACAACCTGTGTTCAAGTGAAAGCAGTTTGGAAACCACTGCAGAAGCTAGAATTCAATATTTACACACCCACTGGCAGAATCATAAAATTTTAACTTAGAGTCAAGGAAATTTTGCACCACATCATAACTTGAAATATATCATATTGTGGTGGTAATCCAATCAGATTATCGAGAAAAAAAATGTGACCGTCTGCTCACACTTGCTTAGTTTACTTTTAACACTAAATCTGCACAGAAGACACAACTGTCATTAGATATTTTAACTATGTGTGAATTTGGGCTGTGGTAAAACAACATTTGTTTAGAACAGCCGTCTCATTTTCTCAGAAATTTAGTTTAACACAATTATAATACTAATCGTCTATAGCAGTAATATTAAAGTAAGGGTGTTGCACAGTAATTCTAACTGAACTGTAGGTGAATAAAAATCACTTATTGCCTCATGATTTGATGAAATATTAACAGTTTTACCATCAATTATCCAGCTGGTTTTTTCTGCTCTTATACTGGGTTGAATTTTATTTTATTATTTCTCAAGCACAATCGAGAGCTTGTGAAACCCAATACAAACTGTGAAAATGTTTCTTTTCCTCCTTTTCTATAGGGCCGAACCTATTCTGCAGAGAATTAAGGAGGACAGAACTCGCATAATATCCCCGTCCTTTGACAACATCAAATATGACACGTTTGAGATCGAAGAGTATCCACTGTCTGCTCAGGGCTTTGACTGGGAGCTGTGGTGCCGCTACCTTAATCCCCCAAAGTCCTGGTGGCACACAAGCAACAAAAGTGCACCGATTCAGTAAGTAAACTTTGATTTATTAGGCCAACTGACATGCGACGTTAACGTCAGACAAATGACAGCCCAGTAAAAAGTCCATCCCTGCGGCTGTTTGAACGAGTAATGTTTTGCACGGTCAAATATTTTTCATTGTCCTTACTGTCGCTACAGCAACAGAAAAACAAAACTAATGTTTGTCGTCTTCAATCTTCCAGGAGCCCGGCTCTGATTGGCTGCTTCGTGGTGGACAGGCTGTACTTCGAGGAGATCGGTCTGCTGGATGAAGGCATGGAGGTGTACGGCGGAGAAAATGTCGAACTGGGCATTAGGGTGAGTGATGGCGTCATGCCTCTGGTCGTGGACTCTAATATTCACTTAGGTCATATGTGAGCAGCTTTACATGACGATCCTTCAGAATCAGAATAAGCTTTATTGTCATTGCACAGTGAATTACAGCAAAATTGTGTTCCGTACAGTCGTCCGAAAGATGGGCAGAGTGTACGTGGCTGCAGCTCGTAGGAGCGCGGCCCTTGTTCTTTAGATTAAAAACAGGGGAAAGACCATGAGGATAGTGGGTATTAAAAAAAAGATCTCTTCACATCTTGTTCTTGTCAGGACACGATTTAAGACATTTTAAAAAATCTACCAGCAAGCACATTTATAGACACATTATGCATTTGATGACAAGACGGTGAGATTTGTCTATGAAACACTTCCACATAGTTCCATAGTCCTGATAAGATGTTACACTGTCAGCCGGTACAGCTCTGATAAGTGTTCACAGAAGTTCTCAGGGGGAGTGGATAGAGCAGAGCTTTCTTGGTTTACACATCCCCAGGAGCAATTTGATTCATTCAACCTTTATTTAGACTGGTAATCCCACTGAGCCTCGAGGACTCATTTACAAGAGAGACCTGGTTTCAGCAAAGAAAGATGACAACAATGGACAACAGCGACAACAATAAACAATTATAAAAAGTCCTAATGCAGTTTTTTTTGTTTGTTTTTGTTGTTTTTTTACAAATAGGATGGCTAAAAGAAAAAGGTAACAAAAAACCAGTTAGATTCTAAGGTGAATGTAGAAAACTAAAAACAGGAACATGTCTGCGTTGGTCCCTGCCAGGAGCCCAACAGATTCTTAAAGCCACTTAGAGAGGTCCTAAGAGGTGATAAGTTGGCCTATTCAAGGCCGTACAGGGAGGGCCAGATTCAAATAAGCCACAGTTGTTTTTGTGCAGGCAGACTATTTTTCTCATCAGCCTTGAGTTCTGCTGATACTCTCGATAATCCAAAATGGCCAGATTGGTGAGCTTTTCGCTGATCTGTGCTTATTAGCCTTCTCCAAGGTCAACCCCAACATGTTGGCGAGCTTCGCAAGTGGCCTACGATTCTCATAAATCGCTTCCAGCTTATGACTGAGCTCTTAAATCATCTGAGTCTGTGAGCTCGAAGCACAAAGTAATGATTCACATAAGGTAGGCAGCTTTGCCATGGCCGAAACTGCTGCCGACATCTTCCTTAGTAGCCGATAACATAGGTCTCCACCGGTGCCAAAAACTGGAAACCCTCCTTTCATAAATCCAACGATGTATAAATGTTCGACATCCTCCAGAGACAATAAAGACAGGCGCATCAGCTTCCACTCCCCCCACGGATCCATGACAAACCCAGCCACGTGCATCTATCCTGGGCATGAGGGTTCTCCAGCATCCTGTCGCTTGGTTGAAAAAAGTTTATCAATTGCGTTAAAAGTCCAGCGTACCAAATCCATAACAGTGATTTACGGTTCAGAAGATGTGTAAGTAGAAGCTCCGATACACAGGACAGAGAGCAAAAGCAGGAAGAAGGCAGGAGATGGAGGAAAAGGCGTCCGTCTCGCTCGAGGGCGAGATGAGGAAAAAAGTGCTCTTAGGAGGAAGCTTATAAAGTGTTTTACTTTTTACATAAAACTTTTTACATAACTTCACTGGAGGAAAATAATTTGACTTGAGCATTGTGTTGTGTTTATTCTTTGGGTGTGTATTAAATATAAGATGTTGCTGCTGTGTGTTAAGGAATCAGCTGCAACAGTTTGACAAATTTCCTAATTTTCAGTGTCACAATCATCTTTTTAATAGATTTCTCCCGTAACTGAAGCAGATAAATCCGTAACAATCGGCTCCAATGTGATACTCAGTTCCAACCCGTTAAAAGGTGTTCAGTAATTTATACACCGAGTCACAAAACACTTCCACCTTAGAGTCCTTGTACACTTGCGTTAGTATTTTCATTTATTTTATGTGAGAGAGAAGCTGGTGAGGAAAGCCTTTCAGGAAATCCCACTGTGCTCTGATTTGTCAGCTCAGTGACCTGATAAGAGACCCCCCACCGGTCAAAATTAGCTGAGTGCACATTCAGCCATCCACGGTTTAAAAGCCTAAGATGCATCAGCGATGCCTCGACAACATGAAGTTTAGGCAGATTTTTTTTGTGTGTGTGAAAATTGACGTATATATATATATATATATATATATATATATATATA